TAGCAAAAAACCCGAGGGTCTTAGTGTCGGCGTGCGACACAATCTTCCCGTCAGAGGAGAAAGATGTCCCTAGCGGAGTCGTCATCTTGTTTCGGGTTTTTTTGTATTGTAATTAACACATATTACAATAGAAAGAAATTTAATGAAACAAAGAAAATTTTATTTTTTTTCCAGGGTTCTTTTCCGTGTGCCGGTAAAGCGTCGATCTTGTACTCCGTTAACTCACCGACTAAGACGATGAGTCCTTTGCTGTTGAGGAGGATTAGATTGTTTACAAGCTAGCTCAGTCTTCTTTTAGAAATACCTCTCATATGCCTCTGCGCGTGTGTGTCTCTCTCCGTGTGTGTGTGTGTGTGTGTGTGTGTGTGTCCAAAGTGGATGATCTCCTCTCCTTTTATAGGCTAAAAGAAAGAGTTAATGGTCCCCTTAATTGTGAATTAAGTGGCCATTAAAGTAGGAGTTAGTGGGGAGTGGTTATGCGGTTATCCCCTAAAAATAACTCTAAAACAGCTATTTGGGTGAACTTCATGGACTTGGGGAAGTTCGCTTCAGATGTGGGCTAATGTCGCTTCAGATGTGGTCACGTCTTCTTCGGAAGTCGATAACTTGGTCCATGTGGGTGAAGTTCGTTAGTTGGCAAACTTCACCTACGAGTTCAAATTTAGCTCAGAATTCGACTCTAGGCTTGGCCGACTGATGACGCCTTTCGACTTGATCTGAAGCGTGTTGCGGGGGTCGACTCATGTCTGAGTTGGTCAAGTTGGGTTGATATGAGTTTCTTTGTGAGGTTTGCTTTAATTATCAGGTGACCTTTGCTACAGCTTGTTGTGAGCTTGACTTCGGACTCATTCTAAGTGTTTAGCCCTTGGGTGTTCACTACTTGGATCCTTTGTGAAAATATGTTTTGATTGTCTACAGTTATATACACCTGACCATTTAGAAAAAAATAACTATGAAGATGAGTGGGCTCAAAGAAATGGAGGGAACTTTCGGCTTAGAGGGAAAAACCAAAACCAATTCTTTATGGATTAAATATTTGGTCCAAAATACACCGTAGTTGACTATTTAGGACAGAAATATAATGAAGTGTTGAAATCCAAAATAGATTTTAAAACAAGGTTGAGTGTTTTACTTTTAAGAGTGAATTTGGAAATGAGTGACTTAAAAGATAAACAATATGACTTTTCATATTTAGAACAAAAATATATATAAAGTTATAACAAAATATAGAAACTCACATATAATGAAATGAACTGATGAAAATGTTAATGAGTTTAACATTTATTTGAATGAATATTTTGGGTCTCAAGAGTGATCTTGGAGGTGGATAGGGTGTTCTAGTAGAATCCCTACTCTGCCTAATTGCTTAGAATAAAAATTTACATGTTACAGTAAAATATAACAACTTACCTGGAGAGGAAACTACTATAATACTTTAGATTTAGAGATAAAAATTCTTTGAAAATAGTTGAATTTAAAAATAATGAGCATAAAACCTTTAGCTCATAGGAAAAAAAACTCATTGGCCTTTTTTTGGCATTGCCACAATGTTAAGAAAAACCTAAAAAGAATGCCTAAGCATTTGTTTAAAACATTGCTTACCTAGATTCTTAAAAAAGACGTATAGCATGTCAAAGTGGAAAAATAACAGCTCAAACCATATGTCAAGCTGTTATGAATTGAGTTTAAAAATAGCTCAATGTAGTTTTTTGAGTCTAAGAGTGATTTCAGAAGTGTTTGAGTTTAGAAATAAATAGATCTATGATTTTAGATTTATAATTAAAAAAACTCTTTCTAAAGGTGAGTAGGTTTAAAAATAAATAAGGATACAATTTATAGGCAAAATAATCTATCTATAGTTGCAACTTATGATATCACAAATTTATGAAATACAAAGTAAGTTTAAGAGTAAAATTTATTGGATTATTTTAGTTTAAAGGCTGATTATGAAAGTGAGTGAATTTAAAAAATAAATTGGGAAACTTTCAATTTTTAGAAAAAAAACCCTTTATATGGTCGTTCAGTATATTATTATATCATATTATTGGAGCTGATGGAGCATTTCGGGTTTATGATTACCTTTTAAGTGGATGTGCATAAAAGTAAATTGGGTTAGCTTATTGGATTTGTAGATAAAATTTTTTTATTTATTTATTATTACTTTTAACCACATTTAAATGATATTATGGAGTTATGCAAAGTTTTAAACCCATAGAGGCATTATGTACATGAGATGGATTTTTCAAGTAGTGGACTTAAAAGCAAATTGAGTTTCTTTTAACAATAAGTTATTAGGGTGTCTTGTGGAATAAACAGTCCCAAGCTATAGTACTAACTACATTAGCTTTAGTATAGTGATAAATATTTGTTGAATTCATTGTTAAACCCACAGAAAGATTAAATTGCGGTGATTTTAAAGTAGAACTAGGCTATATTTAATAGTAAATTCTAGATGTTAACCTTAAAAAGTTCTGATTAGCTTGTGAATATCACGCAAGATAGTTCCGAGAAAATTTTCTCTTTTGCATAATAGAGGGTATAAAAGTGCAAGTTTTAAATACTTTAGGTATTTAAGTGATGCCCAAAAAAGAGAGGGTATATATGTGCAAAGTAGAGGAAACTATAAGTTATATAAGTGTTTTCTACATAAGGCTTTCCAAAAGGGTTATTTAGATATTGGTCCCTAAAATATTCAATAATTCCATATTAACCCCTCAAATCTCAATAATCGGTCATTAGTCCCTCAAAATAGGGTGTTACAATTTGATCCCTTAATGATCAAAATACCCCTTCGTTAAGACTCATTTTGTTCAAAAAAGAGTTATTGGCACTTTGGTACTCTAAAGTTTACACTTTATAACTTTAACACCCCAAAGGCTTTTGACACTTTGATACCCTAAATTTTACACCTTTTTATATTTGATACCTTAAAGTTTTTTTCTAACACTTTTGAACTTTATACTCCCATAGCTTTGATACCCAAGTTATGTTTTTGACGCTTAGATAACGCAAACTTTAGGGTGTCAAAGTTAAAAAAGTGTAAATTAACTTTGAAGAATTAAAGTTAAATAATGTGAAATCTTTGGGGTATGAAAGTTAACAAATGTGTAAAGTTGGAGTATCAAAGTGTTAAAAAAGTTTGAGGTACCAATTTTTAAAAAGTGTAAACTTTGAGGTATCAAAGTGCCAAAAAAACTTTAGCATCAAAGTTTACGAAAGTGTAAACCTTAAGAGTCCCAAATTTCAAATAACCTTTCAAAAATTATTAGCTGAGGGTATTTTGGTCATTGAGTGACCAAATTGCAATAGACCTAGGATTTGGGTAACTAATGAGCAATTTCATAGATTTGAGTTCATAGATTTGAGGGATTAATAAAGAATTACTGAAGATGTAAGGGACTAATATAAATAACCCTAAAAAAAAGGTGTTTTTGGCATTAGTTCCCTTGCATCCTTAATATATTCCCTAAAATCATCAAAATTACTATGGAGCCCATATCCTATAAGTTGTTTCCAAATTAGTCCCTCAAACATGCATAAGTGTCTGATTTTTATATGTTTGTTTCAAATAATTCTCTTCAATCAAGAGTGACACTAGCAAGATATAATCTAATTGTTTAGAGAAAGTTTGCGAGAGCGAATGTCTGCTTTTATTTGAACAGGGTTTTAAATTTAATATTTCAAATAATTTTTCTAATGTTGAATGCTTAGATATAATTCCATTCTTAATAATTGCTTAAATATTCATTCCATTCATCTTTATTTTTCTATCAATTAAATGCTTCATAAATTTCTTTCAAATATAATTTGATTATCTTTGGTTATAATCCTATTCAATTTAGGAACTGCTTAATCTCTTCTGATGAGTATTTCATATTTAAGGTGTATTATGACCTACTCATTATATATTATATGAAGGAGTTTCTAGGTACGAGCCAAAATTTTCACACCCTCTATTTGTTGATTTTGTTCTTTCACGCAAATGCTTCTTTCATCTTTCGTGAGGGCAATCGCTGAGCATAGCGCATGAATCTAACATTGCTGTAAGCAGCCACTCAATTAGACGTGGACTCATTAGCCTCAATCAAATCTCAGTCTAAGGGCCCGTTTGGTTGGTTTCCTAAAATCAAAGAAAAGGAAATCGGTACAAGGAAATCAATAAAATAATATCTTTATCCATTTTCATCCCTAAAACTCACCCATAACATCTAATAAAATATTTTTTTTATCATCCAACCCATCTCATTTCATCTTCTTTCTTACCTTTAAAAATAAACCAAACACAAGAAATGTGTCACATCATCCAACTCATCACATCTCATCTTATCTCATTTTTAAAAATCACACACATCATCCAATAATATTGTGACAACTCATCTCATCTCATTAAACATTCATTTCCATCTATTTCCTCAAAAAAAATTGATTTCTTTAAGTATGTGTCACATCATCCAATAATATACCTCCAACTCATCTCATCTCATCTATTTTCTTATTTTTAAAAATGAACCAAACACAAACAACCTCAAAACATCATCCAATAATATATCTCCAATTCATTTCCTTATTTTTTTAACCAACCAAACAACCTCAAAACAAATTTTTTTAAAAAAAAATCACTCACATCATCCAATAATAAGGTGACAACTCATCTCATCTCATTTCCTATTCTATAATTTCCTTCTTTTTTAAACCAACCAAACAACCTCAAAACAATTATTATAGAAAATATGTTTCTTATTCTTTGATTTCCCCTTTTTTTTTCGAAACGAACAGCCCCTAAAAGAAAACATGCATATATGCTACTATTGATCAAAACCCTATGAGTTTCAATTGGATTACATCAAAACTTTTTTGGTGATAATTATGACTCTGCCACCAAATATGTACGACTCATTAATGATGTACCAGTACAAATGAATGAGCCTCCACGTGTCGCATAGTCGATATGATCAATTAATCCTATAGTCCGGCAAGAAAAGCGACTGGTTTTATCACAAGAAACCTAGGTAAGAAAGACCAGGTCGCGTCCTCCCTTAATTTGTTCTTACCTGTTGCCAACAACCCTCTCCTCTTTTTCTCTCACGCATGTACGTATATATATATATATACATTGGTATATAATTAATTATAAGTTTCAGATTATATAATTTGAATTGCAGCCGGGGAAACAAAGCGATGGAGATGGAGAACAGTACTGATCAGACCCAAACCGCTCTCCTCAAGAGGGAAAGCGTGAACAAGGTGAAACATGATGGTCACGGTGACGGCGGGAAATACTCGGGTGCAAAGAGAAGGAAGGAAGAGACGTCGACGTCTACGGTCGTGTTGTCGATGATACGTCTCGACAAAGCTTATGCTTCGAGGTTGACGGCGAGGGACGTGGTGCTCATAGCGAAGAACCACCCGCTGCCTTCGCTGCTGATCGTATCGCTGCTCTTCTTCATGGGCGTCGAGTACACGTTGAAGATGGTGCCTTCGTCGTCTCCGCCTTTCGATGTGGGGTTCCTCGTCACTGAATACCTTCATGCTGTTGTGGCTGCAAGGCCCACCCTCAACTCAGTACTTGCTGCTTGTAACACTGTGAGCATGATTTTAAAATTATCTTTAAAAAAAATCAGATTTATACGCATTCTTATTTGTAGAGTTACTCGGATCCTTCTAATGTCTGTATAAATATGGTAGACGTACGGCTTAACTTAAATTAATCCTGTTGATCTTTGATTTATAGTATCTTTTTAAGTTGGTATACAAACTAAATTAGTTTAGAACTATAAACATTTTAGGAGTGTAAAACCTTTTTTTATTTTTTTATTTTTTTTTGGTATATATGCGCGTTCTACATAATGATTTTTGGTTCCTACGTACCATAGGACAAAAAAAGGGAAAAGAAAAAGAAAAAGAAAAACAAGAGCAGAAAAAAAATTTGAAAAAAGATAGAGAGAAGGAGCGGAGATAAAAGATTAGGAAAGTAGATTAGGTAGGAGTAAAAATAGAAGGTTCGCCACGCTAATTGATTTCTATAATCATGTTTGAAATTTTGACATTCTCTTTCCTTTTCTACGCATTCAAGTCTTTGTTGTTTTTCGAAAGTAGAACTGGAGTCACGGTTATTGTTAGAAAGTTAACAGCTCATTCTGTCTTTTTATTAATGAAGTCCTTGTATTGAAGACTTTTACATTTGCGTCTTCTATTTGATGATGTCGAGTCACATGAATAGTTGGTCAAGAGGCTAAGAACTTTTTTTTTTTATCACGAGAGGCTAACACCTCGGATTAGATAAAAGTTTTGATATTATGGTTAGAAGCAGGGGCGGAGCCAGAAATTTTTATCTAGGGGTGTAACGATACAAGTTATATATGTATTTTGTTTATATTGTTAACAAAACACTACCTTCAACTTAAATTTATATGCTTATATTCAAGATATAGCTTAAAGATTGAGAAAATCTTATAGCAATTTGAGGATGATGATTTTTCCCCCCTCTGTTTGATAGTAATGAGGAATAAACTTTTGAAGAAATTCTTTTTCTTTCTTACCTAATTTTAAGCTGCGCCTTTAATTATAAATTGGAAGGCTTTAAGTTTGTTAGCTTAATTAGGTTAATTATACAATACGGGCCTGTAGTTATGCATATTGGGCCATAAATTTGTTAGCTCAGTTATACTTTAAAGGCCTGTAGTTATGCACGCTGATTGGTTAACTAGCTAGGTTAATTTGTGGGAAAAGGCCTATGTTTAAGCTTCTTCTAATATACTTCACCAATTTCTATACTATGCTATATGATATTGCAAAATTTTGGGGGGGCAGGGACCCCCCAAAGGTGTACCTAACTCCACCCAAAAAAGACTAAATTTAAGTTGGTATCGGAGCAACTCTGGTTCATATCCCACCACCCGGAAATTAAAAGCTAATGTTCTAAAATTTGATAAACTTTTACTCTAGTTTATTCCACTCTAGTTTTGTAAACTTTGTTTTAGGGTCCGTTGGGCTCTTTTCATGTAATACATGAGATTGCTACAGTAATACAATATTAAGTAGTCAACCTAAGCCTAACCGTTACAATAAAACACCCCCAAAACAACTCCTCCTGCTGGGAATTAACAAGAAGTTGTCAACTCAGATTTTATTATGTCACATTAGATCCCACATTGCCCAAGCAAAATACTCTTTTTAATATAACACTGTAGCAATCTGACAACTACAGTGTATCACCACCCAAAGCCCCCCAAACCAAACACCCTTTAATGTTTAAGTTTCTGTATTTTGGTGTAAGTTACTCTATTTTGAGCTAAGCTGCCTGTACTTTTTAATAGCGCATACAAAATTGATGAAAATACAAAAACTGGATTTAAAAATTAATAATTCAGTATAATATAACTTGGACTTGGCTGGAGACGACGAGCTTTGCTACAGGGACCCAAAATATGGGACCAATAGGGGGGACAAGTGAGCTATCCCCCTCCTATTGGATAATGAGCTGACCATCATTAATGATGGCCAACTCATTATCCAATAGGAGGGGGACACCTCACTTGTCCCCTCTGTTGGTCCCATATTTAGGGTCCTTGAGGAATTTTTAGGAGACGACTATTAGGCGCAGCTACCCATGTGTTTCGCCTGAACATTAAATAAGCACAAAAAGAGCATAATCTATTGTCTCCAGGTTAGGTATTTGTCACATGCCGCATTAATCAGAATCTTTTGTGTCCTGTGTCCAGAATCCAAACGGCTACGGATCACATTTGCGTTAATTGATTTCAGGTATTCGTGGGATCGCAAATGGCCTACATATTTTGGACCTTGCTTGTGGAAGGCAGGCCAAGATCCACGATTGCCGCCTTGTTCATGTTCACTTGCAGAGGGATACTTGGCTACTCAACTCAGCTCCCACTGCCTCAGGTTAGTGAGCCTACCACAAACGGCGCAGCCACGCAATTATCCAGCGGTGTTATTAGGACCACCAAATTTATTATTTTATAAGCATTTTCATTTACTCTTTCCTCGTATTTACTGCTTATCGGTAGCAGTAAAATTAGGGTAGAGCACTACTAAGGAGAACGGAATAGTAAAATCATCAATATTCATCTCAATACAACCATAGGACAAAATCCTGGCTCCGACATTGCATACTAATGCTATCCCCATGAACATGAGAAAAGTAGTCAACTTATCAAGAACAATCTGCCGCTTGGATCAGTATAAAAGAAATGATCCTTCAGAATTACGACATTAATATGAGAGTTATTATTTTTTTCATCGGACATGTTTGATAACTTGAAAGTTTATAAAAAAAATATTTTCAAATATTAGAAAGTGACTCTAATTTCTTTTCTATTTTTTTTCCCTTTTTCTTTTAAGGGTAAATTTCACAATACGTGATGAAGATGTCCCTTATTTTAATAAAAACACTTTTTTGTTCTTTTTCAATAAATTTTTTCGCAAAGCAAAAAATTAATTCCTATCCTACCTGCCCCAGGTGACAAATTTTAAGAATTTATTAGGTAATTTGTTTTGAAAGAAAAATATGGAAAAGAACCAAAAAGGATATTTTTTGCTCTGATCAGGGCATTTTCATTACTTTGAGGATTATGTGAGAGAAACGAAATATCGAGGGGTTTGTTGAAAACTCCCAATACTAAAACTCCCTATTACTTTGGGGAGTTTTGTGAAATTTACCATCATTTAATTTTCAGCTACCAAAACAATTCATTAGCGCATCAAACATGCGACAAAAACATTAAGTACTTCTCCCATCAACTTATCAGCAGAGGACATCAGTAATTAAACTTTCATGCAGGGTTTCCTAGGATCCGGTGTGGACTTCCCAGTAGGCAACGTATCCTTCTTCCTCTTCTTCTCTGGACACGTCGGCGGTTCAATGATCGCGTCGCTCGACATGAGGAGGAAGAAGAGGTACAACATGGCGTGGACGTTCGACGTCCTTAACGTGTTCCAGTCGCTGAGGCTGCTGGCGACGAGGGGGCACTACACCGTCGATTTGGCTGCAGGGCTTGGAGCCGGCTTCTTGTTTGATGCGCTTGCTGGTAAGTATGAAGAAATCAAGAGATGTCGCGGAAGCGAACAAGGATATTGTTGTAGCCATAAGAGATGTTGATGCATGTGGTTTGATCACCTGTTGTGTAATGTAACAGGCGGTGGGAGTATTTGATAAAAACAAAATCTCGTGCTTTTGTTAAATTCCTTGATGAGCTAGTTTGGCTGAGATCGAGCCACATCATTTAAACTTTCTATCCAAGTTATTAATGCTATTATCAATAGTTTTCAAAGGTTTATGATAACTTTTGCACTTCTCAAAATCCATGTTAATTTTTATGTAATAACAAGTCTTATGGTGATTTCTGCACAATAGTATATGTAATTTACCTTTTAATATTTTTTAAAGGGCTTTCTCACATTAAAAACCCAATTTTTCCATATTTTGAACTAGTCCTCAATCTTAAATGTTTTGAAACCAGTCCATTAAATCTTCATATTTTGAAATTAGTTCCCCAACTCTTTATATACTTTGAAATTAGTCATGCTATCAGTCTCGTCAGACGATTTGGCAGACTTTCCAAATACTTTAAATTTTTTTCGAGTCATTAACTTCAAAATATGAAAAGATGTGGGGGACTAATATAGGAAAAAGTTTACTTTTTAATAAAAGTTACACCGTATTTGGACTGCTCGTCCTATTGAAAGACTAGATATCAGAAAACCCCCTTAACTTTGGATGATTATTAAATAACTATAATAACTTCCAAAATATCATAAGCAACCCCTTTAAGCATAGAGATAATACCAAAAAAACTTCATCTCAACTATAAATTTATCAGATTATCCCTTTTAACTTTAAGATTACCTTGGAAAACCTACCTAAAAGACGTTAAGGGGGGCCTGATAACCCCCAAACTTAACGGGGATCTCATCATATTTTCGAAGTGATTAGGATTTATCAATAATCGTCCAAAGTTGAGGGAGTTTGCTATTATTTAGCAAAATTGCTAATAATAGTGTCCATAAATTTATTTAGTTTCTCACAACTCAAATTAATGAAATAAATCATAAGAAGTTTGAAAAAACTGTGTCAAGGCCTCAATTTTGAGAACTTCATGTGCGTCAGCCCCTCCTACTTTAATCTATGTGCTTAAGCCCCCAAATTTTGAAAAAAATGTTGTACAACTCCTCCAGCTCATATATAGCCTAATATTATATGTATTTGACCCAAAAACCCAACTTTACCCCCACCTACTCAAAATCACCAATATCTCTCCTCCATCAAAATGTGCCCTTCTTCTTTCTCATCTTCCTTCTCTATCATCATCTCAATATCCAAGCGCCAAAATCTTAACCCTAGCAATTCCACCTCCTTCTCCTCCCTCAGCAATCACTCCTCTCCCGCCGCCCCCCTCGACTATCCGATACAAATTCACACCTAGATCTGAACCTAGATTCACCTCCAGCACTGCCAATACCTCCTCTGTCTCCACCACCAACGACCTCAAGTGTGTCCTCTACAAGTTCAACTCCAACGATGACGGCAAGATCTCCTCCTCCTAACTCACCGCCATCGTCTCCTCCATTTACCACACCCTCTCTACCTCTACACTTTCCTGCGTAATGGCAGAGACCAACTACGACAGCAATATATTCATGGACTGTGATGGTTGCTCACCACTTGTTTGATGAAATGACTCACAAAACTTTTATTTCATGGAATACTATGATCGTGGTTAATGAGCAAGAACATGAAAGTAGAAAGGCGGCTGAGCCCTTACAATGTTAATGGGCTCTTTGATCACTCATGTCTTAAGGGGTTGATTAACCCGTAATTGAAACTTAAATAACCCGATTATTCAGAAGTTTCTTGAGAAATACTATATGGGTTCATTGGAGCTAGGATTTCCCTTGTGAAGAAAGATATTCTACTATTTTTGTCTTTACATTTACTGCTATTTGTCCTTGCATTCCTCTAATTTGAGGTGTTTTATCTAGTTGATGTTCTTCTTTGAGGATGGAATTGGATTTGTTTTCAAGACTCCTCTTGTTTCATGGGAGAGAGTATGTATGAAAAAGAAGAAAGGTGGACTTGGGATATTATCAGCCATTAATTAGAATATTGCATCGACCCTGCAATGTATCTGGTTCATTCATATAAACAAGGAATCACTATGGATTAAGTGGATCCATGATACTTACCTAAAACATATGGATATTTGGAGGGTAAATGCAAAGGCTGGTGATTCTTGGATGTGGAAATAGTTGTTAAAAGTTAGGAATAAGGTTATGGCTTTATGTGGAGGAGTTGAAAATTTGAAAAGATCAATCAGATCATGTTACAAAAATGGTAAACTGAAATTGTCTACTCTATACAATGTTCTTGTGCCCTCAACAGAGTGTGTGCTATGCAATAATTCTGTGTGGGGGGTTCTAAATATACCAAAGCATTCTTTTGTTAGCTGGCTGGCAATCCAAGATAGGTTCCTCACACAAGATAGGCTGCTTAGGAGAGAAATTATAAACTCAAACTCTTGTTATCTTTGCTCTGGTGCTGATAGGGAGTCCAGGAATCACCTGTTTTTTGAATGCACATATTCAAGAGATGTTTGGAATATTATCATGGATTGGTTGAATTTTAATTGGAGATCTTGCAACTGGGTTCATCTTATAAATTGGTATATCAGAGGATTGAGAGGCAAGGGATTTAAGCAAAATCTCAAAAGAATGGCTTTGACAACTTCAATTTACTTTATTTGGCGGGAACGCAATGAAAGATGTTTTCAGCAGAAGAATAGAAGTGTTGATCATTTGGCTCGTGATATCAAGATTGATATATCAGTTTCTATCCTTGATGCGGCATAAACATGTACCAAAAATGTTGCAAGTGCACAACCATGTTAAGTTATAGTATAAAGATATCGATCCCACGAGGAAGGTGTTTTGTAGGAGAAAATATAAAATCGGTTCTTATGTTGTGTGCGTGACAAATAGGAGTGATGAGTGAATGTGATTGTGGAGAGATGGAGAGAATAAAAATGATTGTGTAAATGAATATATTTGAGAGTGAAAGTGATAATATAAATGTGATCAACAAGGCAAGAAGGAAAAATCAAGAACAAATAAAAATCAAGAATGTAAAGATAGCGGATTCAATTAAAGATATGGATAATCTAAAATTGAATCCCCTTCTTAGAAAAAAGTGATTCCCTAGAGGGTTCTAGCCTAAAGGCGAATAAAAAAAAATAAAAATAAACAAAAAGAAAAACTAAACCCAAGAGGGTTCTAGCCTCAAGGTGAATAGTGCAAGAAATTAAAATCTAACTACAAAATAAATTATAAAATCTAAACTACAAAATAAATTGTAAGAATTAAATACAAGAAAATAAATCTACTTTATAAGCATGAAATAAATCTAATCTATAAGCATGAAATAAATCTAAGGCAAGAGGGTTCTAGCCTCTTGGCTATTGGCTATTAAAACAAGAAAATAAAATCTAATTACAAGCATGAAAATAAATCTAAACTAATAAGTAATAAAAGAGAAATAAGAAAAACAAACCTTCAAATTAATCTCCATCTTCATCTTCATCTTCATCATCCAACAAAGAGAAGAAGAGAAAAATTTAAAGTGATGAAAAAATTATTTTATTAATTATAACAAAAGTTATAAATTTGGAAGACCTTCTTAATTAAGAGTAGCCCTCCTCTCCAAAAGGAGTTACAAAAATTTTCACACCCCTAACCCCTCACTCTCTACCCCTATTTATAGTAAACATCAGTGAATGAGAGCCTTTGGGTCGAAATCTTATCCAAAAACCATGAATTCCAGTCTTAGATTTGTAACAGAATGACGATGGCATCGATACTAGCATCGATGCTGGTATCGATGCCCAGTGTACTGCAATTGCATTCCGCAACTTCTTCTTCTTTTATGCTTTGGGCTTGGGCTTCTTTGGCATTTCTTCTTCTTTTGGGCTTTCATGCTTGAGTTCTTCATTTAATTAGTGGGTTTTGTTAAGAGAAGAGATATTGGGCTTTTATTTTTGATTAACCTGCAATTAAAGATAAAAACAATTATTAGTGATAAATTTATTCATATAAACTAGATAATGAGGGTATAAAATTATAATAATATGTGATTATCAAATACTCCCACACCTAAACTTTTGCTAGTCCTCTAGCAAAAAGAATGAAAGAAAACCTAACTCACTTTCGCAGGAATCGCGGTTGTATTTAGCGCATACAACAAGCCTTTAAACTCCTAGGTTACCCTTGTTGGCCTTCTTGTTTTGATGATGTTTAACAAACAATTTACCACTAATGTTGTTTGTCTAGTATTTGTGTTTTCTTATTTATTATAGACAAACAACGAGTTGGAGGATGGATGGAATAGCGCTTCAACGACGATATCAATAGATATGAAACAAATATATTTTCATATACATACTCATAGGTTTCATTTTCTATTTTATTTGTGAAAATATTGTTTGTAGACTTCAATATCAGTTTATACATGTTTTACTAAGTCTACAAAAATATTTTGCAAAGTTTCAAAAGTTGGTTTATGTCAAAACATCAAAATTCAAGTATCTCATATTTTCATGTTTTGGACTATTTTGTAAAATGATGATATTTTTTATTTGGGAGGTCCTTTCTGATAACAGCATTCCCCAAAGTTTTACATTTTTTAGAATTTATTTGATATTTTTAAACAGCATTTATTTGATATTTTTAAACATTGCATATTTTCATGTTTTCAAAAGTTGGTTTATTATCATGTCTACAATCATTCCCCAAAGTTTTACATTTTTTGGAATTTATTTGATATTTTTAAACAGCATTTTAAAATAAGCAAATCATATTTTCATATGTCAGTTTTCGGTCGACCGCACCGGTCGACCGATTATTTGATCTTTCATCACTGGGCGACAGAGAGTTGGTCGGTCGACTGAAAGCTCCATTGGTCGACCGCACCGGTCGACCGACGATTGTCCAGAGCTGGTCTTCGTGTTTTTGCTCTCCATCGGTCGACCGACAGAATTTCCGGTCGACCGACAATAGATCCGTTGCACTCCAACAGCTATTTTTCAGAGCTGTTTGCTGGGGCTGTTTTTGTCTTTTGTTAGGGGTTTTGGCTGAGTTTTTGAGTGGGTATAAATACCCTATTGCTGTTCTCTTTCAACCAAACCAAGAGAATTGTTTAAACAAGTTTAAGGGTGTTTTGTGTTTATTTAAAAGAGTGTTTAAGAGTTTTGTTTATGAAGCAAATTTCACAAGAGCAAGTGGAGATCATCCT